ATAATCCACCTGACTTGGTGATAACAGGTAAATAAAGTATGTTTTGAGAAGAAGAGGATGCGAACATTCGCCTCAAATAAAGTATGGTGATGCCGCAATGCCAGGCACGATACCCCAAAGGAAGGATAGTTCTGTTCAGCCTCTGAACCCGATAGGCTCGGTCCCTAAGCTGCCTTTTATTTTCAAGACCCCCCTGTTTCCCAATAAGACCACAACTACAGACCACCAACTGCTGGGAATACCTTTGAAGGCTGACACGCAGCCTAGTACGTGACGAGGGTCGCCATGGTGTGGAAAATTACTAATTCTGTTCAACCTTATGCATGGCCTTTTAACCCTTCAGCGACACAGCTGTCACAATGATCTTCAAGAAAGGCAACAGGTGATTGTGTGCGAACCAACTGTGGCATAGTCCTCGCAGCCGACCAGGAGCCAGAGGAGTTTTCAACCCGGACAGTCATATGTTGAGCAGTTCTGTCAGTCTAACAAGTTAATAATATCACGTTTACAAGCAGCTTACTCTTGTTTCTGGCTTTTACTCTATCCATGGCGATTGTCTGTGGACGATCATACTGCAAGATGGCATGCCGCTGAAACAGCCGCGGATGAGTCATGCCTATTAGCACAGAATGTGTATGGTTAGGAGTAACCATTTTTACTTCATCTTCTTCATCTGTCGAGATTGTGCCGGGACAAGAAATCTGTTGAGTTGCATGATAGACTAGGTCTCTCAACATGCGTTGGCAGATCACCCCAATTTTGGAGTAGGCTATTATCCTTTTGCACCAGTCAATATGGGTAAGGTCAAAACGAAATTTAAGGGCTCGGGTAGATTTGGTTGGTACCTGACAAGTTGGTTAACAGTTCTGACCTTGAATGAACAGTCCTCTCGTGGACAGTATATGCTAAGCTAGAGCCGCAATTATGTCCCAGCTTGTAAAAATCACATGAAAGCCATGCCGCACTTTTCCAACTGTATGAAATGGAATGCTGCTTGTATCTAACTGCAGTTGTTACTGGGCAACACCTCTGACTGACATTATTGATATGTGACATTCCTTAATTCGTCAAAAGTTATCTCTAGGACTTAAATTTAGCAAAGATTATCTGGAACTGCATGCGATATCAATGTGCAAACTTTCTAGGCTCATCTTTAGTCTCTCTAAACCTTGGACGGAATAACTAATGGTAATCACTCGGATGACCTGTCCTTCGTCCAGCCTCCCTCATCTATCCTCGACATAACGCGTTAGGAGGCGCGGTGGCAATCCCTGGTATTTATTCCCTGTTAAAGTGTTGCACGAATTCGCATGACGAGAACATGCATGTTCTAGTGATCACCAAAGCTCACATCGAATAAGGTCGGAAAACACCCTAGTAGAATATTCAGTGT